GTGAGGTAGGTGGGGCTGAGAGCTCTCTCGAGAACTGCCCTTGAGAAAACAACTCTGGCAGTGCTGTATCAGAGTTGTTTTCTCAAGGGCAGTTCTCGGGAGAGCTCTCTCAGCCCCACCTACCTCACAGGGTGCCTGTTGTGGGACGGGGAAGGGATTTATAAGCACTGAAAGAGAATATTTATAAAGTAATTCACCGTTGGTACTTATCCCCGGAAAGACTAGCACGGATGTATGATGGACTGGCAGGCAAATGTTGGAAGTGCAAGACAATGGTGGGTTCATATTTCCATGTTTGGTGGTCATGTAAAGAGGTTTACAAGTATTGGAGGGAGGTACAATTGATATTAACTCAGATAACCAAAAAACAAACTAATTTAGATCCTGAAGTTTTTCTGTTAAATGTTTTACCTGATAATTGGAAAAGAAATGATAAATATTTAACCTTGCACGTGATAACAGCTGCAAGAATTTTACTTGCGAAGACTTGGAAAGCTGAACAAGTACCGACAAAAGAAGATTTGATAACGAAAATACTAGAAGTTGCAGAAATGGACTGTTTAACGCAGAAAATTAACGGAAAGATGAACACTGTTTTTCAGAACGTATGGTCACCATTTTATAAGTGGCTGAACAATTAAATGGCGGTTGGGTTGGAGATCTGCGGTGGTGTCGGGAAGGGTGGTGGGTTCATGGGAGAATGTGGGTGATGGGATGTGATGAGAGTATATGTGGAATGCATGTTGTTCTAAAACCAATAAAGATTTATAAAAAAAAAAAGAGAGAAAACAACTCTGGCAGAACTGTGGCTTGCCCAGGGTCATCCAGCAGCTGCAAGGGAAGGGAAAGGAGATTGTAAGCCCTTCTGAGACTCCTTCAGGTAGTAAAAAAAAAAGGTAAAGGTTCCCTTGCTCGAAAGCCAGTCGAATCCGACTCTAGGGTTGCGGTGCTCATCTCCGTTTCAAAGCCGAAGAGCCAGCGCTGTCCGAAGACGTTTCCGTGGTCATGTGGCCGGCATGACTGAACACCAAGGCGCACGGAACGCTGTTGCCTTCCCACCGAAGCGGTCCCTATTTATCTACTTGCAATGTCTT